CTATGATTGTTTTAATGAATTAAATATATTAGCCTACAATTTTTTTTATTATCTTGGTTGATGGAATAGTTAGCTCTAGAATACTACTCTAAAACCTACCTTATATAATCTACCTCTTGAACCATCTACAGTTTACAATTCTGCTTGATCTTTTAGTTTTAAATGGGGAGATAGCAGAAACAAGTTTTTTGTACTAAGACAATATGAAGTTCATCACACAGTCATCTTTTATATGTACTTGTATGCATTTTTTTAAATATAGCATATGCAAGATTAATCATATTGACAAATACAGTTTGAGAGCTATGTAAATCTTTCTAAACAATGCAGCATAAATCACTTTGAAAATGTTTGTGAACAGTTGTGTTCATACACAAACATGTACTGTACTTGTAATGCTAGTATAAACAAGCACTTGTGTACAATTTGAAGTTAGGCTTAGGATAAGTGGTTCAAATTTTGTGGTATACAAAAATGTAATAATATACATTCTGTATTCATAAAAACTGTACATAAACTTTTAAAACCATTCTTACTATATATTTTGAAGTCTGAGAACCTGCTGGGGAAGTTCACAGCAAAATAATCGCTTTTAATAACAAATCCACAAGGGCCGTGATGAGGATTCGAACCTGTGACCGAGAACATCCCAGACGTTGCCTTAATCGACTGAGCTAAGACATGGTATAAGAATTGCAACCAGAAATTCTACTGAATTTACTTGGATCCTGCAGCCTCTCCGACACACAAACCATGATTTTACACAATTCCCCCATGCATTCAAGCTATGTCGATAGGCCGACATAAGCCTATTGCTCTCGGACGCAGGTTCGAATCCCCGTCACGCCCCTTGTGGATTTGTTCATTTTGATGAATCACGCTATTGTGATTTCCGTGTGTAGTGAAGTAAGGGCGAAGAGGGAGAACGGCCTATTGACATAGCTCGAATGCATGGGGGAATTGTATAAAATCCTGGTTTCTCTCTCGGAGAGGCTGCAGGATCCAAGTAAATTCAGTAGAATTTCTGGTTGCAATTCTTATACCATGTCGTAGTTCAGTCGATTAAGGCAGCGTCTGGGATGCTCTCGGTCGCAGGTTCGAATCCTCGTCACGGCCCTTGTCGATTTGTTCATTTGATGCATCACGCTATTATGATTTCTATGCGTAATCGCTTTTAAGGCTCATCAATTTAAGTCTAATACCTTGTATTTACACATGTTGCATTGCTTCTAAACCAAATAAGTTAATTGACTTTGGATAAGAGCAATCGTCTGACCCTTTCAAGCTATTGTATTATATATCTTTGTTGGACATGAATTTTTGTCCTAAAAAAAATTAATTTCCCATGTCCAGTTCAACTAACAAATCAAGATGTCTTCTCAGAATGCAAATGTCAAAATAACAAAATTCCTAAACTCTGGAGTCCCTATTACATTAACATCACTTCCACCTCAATGCATATTTCTTACAATGATTATGATCAATAGATTACCAATTAATGTACTAATTAGTCTGTCAACGTATTATAACAATGGCTTTAGCACATTGGAACTTAAGACATTATGAGCAATAATGCCTTTTCTTCACTTACAGAAATCCACTTCATGGATTTTCCTCTATAATTATTATTCCATTTTAAGAGACTTTCTTGCTACAATCCCTACTCTAGCTTTAATACATAAACAAGATAAATACTGTAAATAAAATGGCCCAAGTGAATAGAAGATGAATGTTTTGTTTTTAAGACTATGTTAGGTTAATTACAACACATGCAATTCTTCATTCCTACCTATATTATAAATTCTTTTATTTGATCATTCATAGGAATCTAATACTATACGTTCCTTGCCATATTCCATCCGTTATAGTGTATGTATCTCAACTATTTCATGTTTGCACAGCACCTAACTCGAAATACACTGTACTGATCTTTATATTCCTCAACCTCTGCCAACACTTTGCACTCCATCCAATTTGTTTATTCCATCAGTGTTTAACAAGGCACATCAAACACTCCTTCTCCCTCCCTCTCAAACTCTTCTATTAATAATACTGCTACAGTTAATTGTTGTACTTTTTACAAATTTTTAATGCCCATGGTTATATACTATCTGTATTTTCTAATTGGAAACTTCTACAATTCTAAAAAAAAAAAAAATGACACTTGACCCACACATCTGAAAATGAAGACCTCTTTCATGGACTACTGTCAAGTAATTGCACGATTTTATAATGGCCGAGAACAGATCAAAACATTGTTGTTTCTTCATTTTCAGAGAGTTGGGTGTCGACCCTTCAACCAGCTTATTGTCACTCATAGTCTGTACAAGCAGCAATATTTTGTACACCCATATAGAATTTCACTCACTGCTTCATTCATTCACTCAGTGCTATGTATCTTATTTGTAAAACTTCCTATTTTCTTATGCCTATAATAGTTTTTCCCAGTTTGCATACTTTTCATTTTTAGACATCCAAAACTTCATTTATTCATCTGTATTAATCTTTTAATTGCTTTGCATATTCCATACATTTTTCTAACTTTTATATCACTAGCTGACAAAACTCTCTACAGTTATTCCATGAATACCATTAATATTCAATGCTTTCTATATCTTTTCATTCAAACATTTTAATTTTTAAAATGTAACATACATGTTCTACTTTCACAGTACTTACTAAACATACCACTCGGTTGCTCCCTAAGATTCTACTGACCCCTGAATAAGACCCAATGCAGGTCAACTTTCTGCACCGGCATACTTTTAAAACTGCTCAAACCAGACAATGTTGGTGCTAGTGAAATAGAGAAGAGAAAACTAACTCTAGTTCAAGAGGCTGGCTAGTTATCCCAAGCCTAGTCAGTTAATGTTTTCAGCAGTGCTGTTTCTCCTCTTTGGTTTCCCACTACATACACATTTCCTTGAAACTTTGTTATATAACCTGCCTTTTCTCCTCTAAGCTCCAAGAAATATTGCCTCAAGTTCTTATATGTTGTGTCCATCAGTTTTGCTCTGCATGATCCATTAATACCTAAGGGAAGGTCCTTTATTACCCAGTCTATTTCCCTGGAGATTCAGATCTCCAAATATCATAACCAACTTCCACTTCCTTTGCTAATGTGGTCAACTTTCCCACAAGCTTCTGGTAGTTTTTTTTTTTTGTCATGTTTCTCTATTGGCCTTCTGGTGTGAGTTGTAAATGACCACTAACACTACATTTCATCCACTTTGCTTTAATAATTAATTCCCTCACATCATTTAACTACCTCTGAAACTTTAATTTCCTCAAATTGGCAGTGCAACTGCATCAGCAAGGCTTCACCACCACTATACCTGTTCATCCTCTCCCACCTCATTATCTACTTATCTTTCAACATAACTGCATCCTCAATACATCTTCTCAATTTGAAAGAAATTTAAAGTAGTCAATTTTCTGGTGTCTTAACACCAGGAAAAAGAAAGTCAACCCATCCTGACTGTACCATGGGGTCAGTATAATCTTGCAATAGGAAGCAACAAAGTATGCTGCTAAAAAAAAGTGTTTTTCAAATTGAATCAATACCTGATTTTTAATGCTTAATCAATATAATTGTTCTTAATTCTTAATTAACATTAATGTGTTATCTTAAGAAAATGTTAAAACCAATCTTATTTGTCTTTTATCATATAGTTAAAAATGAGTGAATATGTGAAGAATAATTTTGTTCACAATATGCCCATAATATAATTATTTATCTAATTTAGCCTATGAATACTGATTTCATAAAAAGTAGCCTGCTTATATATGCAACATACAATACAGTATATGAAATGCGAGAGATTCATTATCAACTCTAACCCTCTTTTCTCCCTATATTTAAATTCTTTTGAATTCTTGCTTTGGATTATTTTTAATCCAATAGTGATTTAACCGATTCTTCCCTTTTAACTTAGTCCCCTTTTAGCCTTGTAAGTTAATCTTTCAAATCTCTAACAGTTAATAAATGAAAGTGTGGCAGGGGGGCGAGGGTGTAATCTTAATGCTGTTTTCATAAGACATACGCCTTTTTAGAGCAATTGTCAAAAACCTATCATTAATCCTGAGAAAGCAATGGTTCCATACAGCTGCAAGCCTTTAGTACAATTAAAAAAAAAAAAATTTCCCAAGTTTAAAATTGGAATATATGAAGCAAATTTTAATGAAAAAAAATCATATTTCCTTAGATATACAGTACAAAATTTCATATAAACTAATTTGATTGTCATATAAAGCTCTAAAAATAATTTAATGTTTCCCATAATTTAAAGTTTCCTCCGAGAGTTCAGGAAAATTGTAAATATTTTATAGTGCTTACAGCATCGAAATTGCTCGAAATTAATAATCAAATGTTTTATGAGGGATGATGACATCTGCACAAGTCTCTGAATTATTGACATATATATATACTAAGGTATCATTTTATTGGGAATAGCCATAGAAATGTCAGAACTTGCAATTCTAAGCATTTATAACTAGTCCAATTATTTCAAGTTTCTAGTGAAAAACTCAGTTGTATTGACCTCAGATATACTATTGCATCAATCTATGAAGGTGGTTGTTCAAGGGCTAAGCAAAGATTTTCAAGAAATTCTAAAATTATAATTGGCAAAAAAATTTAAATAATTTCTTTTCGTACTTTTTCTACATCTTCTGTACCTATTCTATTACTATTGCTAGTACTGTACTGTTTGTTGTTGTGGATGATACTACGGTTAATATAACTGTCAGTAAACAAAAGGAACAGGCTAAATGCTTTTATCACATTTACTTTGGGTAACATCACCACCTTCCTCCTGACCCCAAAAAAAGTTTGAATAGATGATGTAAGATGTCTTTGATGTTCAAGGGAATGTATGAGTGTAATATGAAGTGTGAAAGCTATTACTGAGTGACTGTAAGTATGCTTATTTTCTTAGGAGTTCTGTGTTGAGCATAGATAGCCTATTCTAGGCTGGGATAGGCCAGGCTGAAGTTCTCACCTAAGGAGATGGCGTGGTAGACTTACGTGTGGAGTTAGCGCGGCCGTGCCACCGCAGTTGTGCCATCATCACGCTTCTCAAGGCACTCTGGAGGCGCCTCTCCCCACCGCACCAATAACCCAACCACATGACCACAATACCAAACCATAACACATCCTACGGCAGAGCAAGGGCAGTTTACTAGCACGGCCCAGACCACAGCCTCACACCCGCTTACCCTATCTCTACACCCACTTTCTATGACATTACTGAAGAGTACACTCTTTCTTGAGATTTCTTAAGATTTGTGTTTAGTTATCTTAAAATTACAAATTTACAAATACTGACACAAATCAAATTAAGTTACTTTAAAGTAATTGTGAACAAAAGGATGGAAGAACCTATATACACACACACACATATATATATATATATACATATATATATATATATATATATATATATATATATATATATATATATATATATATATATATATATATATATATATATATATAAATACAGTATATGTATTCAACACAAAAGTATATTCAACATATAATATACATTCTAAATACTTTAAATAAGATACATATTCTACATATAACATTTTATGTACAACTTCTTTTCTACGCAGAATACATGTCCAATGCAAAATACAAGTTACACGTAGAATACAGATATGCAGAAATATTGTTTCATGTATGATGTGTGTTCCACATATGATATGTATTTCATGCATAATAAGTATGCCACATGCGATGCATATGCCATGTGCAATACATATGGCACATACAATACATATTCCATATATAATTCAATGTATTACATATTTAACATGCTGTATAAAGCATACTGTACATGAAATACACTGTCTAGGAATAAAACACACACTAGGTATAACACGTACTCTATGTATAATGCATGCCCTACATATACCACGTGCAATACATTATACATATTCCATGTATTCTATGTATCATACATATTCAACATATGTATTCTATGTATAATATATATATTGAACTTGTGTATTCTACTTGTAATAAATATTTTATATGCTATATATATTCTATGTATTATATATTCTTTGCATAACACATTCTATATTTATATTTAAGTCTTTGTGTGTATTTATTTATTTTAGTAGCAGTCTTTCTTGTAGACATATGTTATTGAAATGACAAAAGGAAAAATTATTGATTTTAGCACAAGTCGTCTCTATTTTTTTTTCCTTCATTTAGAGAAATTGAAAATCTCCAAAGTTCACTTTAAAATTTTATTATAGCCTGATACCAAGAGATGGATTTTGTTAACCTTTTCAACATCATCAGAGGTAGAATTCAGGTGGATAGAATCTTTTGAGCAACCGGATACATAAGACAGGGGTGAGGTGAGGGTGAAGCACCTTACTTATGGACCAATAGGTACATTGCACCTTAACCATACCTAATGCTTCCGTGTTTTGCCATGGTCTCGAAGATGGCAGAGTGTAATTTGGAGTTAGCTGGCTGTTGATAGATAGTAAGATTGTCTGATGTGTAATGACTCACCAAAGTCCAATCTTCTATTGTTGCTGTATCTCAATTAGTTTCGTGTTTGTCAGGATCTCTCTCATAATGATCTGTTGTATGTAGAGACTATTTCTCGATAGGGCCTTGACTGTTAAGTGTCTTGACAGGTACATTGGCATCTTGCCTAAATACTAAGATTGTTGGGGCTGACAGTCCCCAAGTGGGCATGAAGGCATCATGAGACACACTTGTCAAGAGAGATTTCCAAGAACACGTTGGCTCTCTTCTTGCTCTTAAAGAATATTAATTATTAAATCTTGTTTGGTGTCGACAGAGGCAAATTTCTTCACTAATGATTTACCGGGACTCTTCCGCTTTGAAGGATGTGCAGGTCGTTCCTGTGGTATATTTAAGAATGAGGGACCGGCAATGTGCCATTGTATAATTCATGTGAGATTGCATGGCGAGACAGTCCATCTAATGATCACCTGAACTCTTGTTTTTGATAATGTTGAAATAGTCAACAAAATATATGGTTTGGCATAACCCCATAATAAAACTGAGAAGTGAACTTGAGTCAATTACTCAACTTCCTTCTAAAGTGAGAAAAAACAAAATATAGATGATTCATGCAAGAATAATGCACTATACACTATATATCATATATATATATATATATATATATATATATATATATATATATAAATAATATATATATATATATATATATATATATATATATATATATATATATATATATATATATATATATATATATATATATATATATATATATATATATATTATATAATATATATATTATATACATAATATATTATATACATAATATATTATATAATATATATCTATATAATTATATATATATATATATATATATAGTATATATATACATAATATATTATATACATAATATATTATATATACATAATATATTATATACATAATATATCCAGGATATATACATAATATATTATATACATAATATATATCCTACATATATCTTATGATATATAATATATTATATACATATATATATATATATATATATATATATATATATATATATATATATATATATATTATACACACACACACACACACACACACACACACACACACACACACACACACACACACACACACACATGAAGAAAAACCACAATGAAAATAAAATCATTTTTCAAAGTGGTTTTTCTGCATACTTGGATCAGTGTTTTTATGATCGCTGTTGCACATTTATACATATACTGTATATTCACAATATGACAGTGTCAGACCACGAAGGAAGGATTGAAACAGGAATTTCCTTAAGTACTTTTGTATTTAATAATACATCTTTAGCAGGATGTATTATTAATCCTTATTATCATTAATCCTTATATATTATTAATCCTCATGTATTATTGATCCTTCTTTAGATGTATTATTAAACACAAGTACTTAAGGAAATTCCAGTTTCAATCCTTCCTTTGTGGTCTGACACTCGCGCGTTAATTTTCGTGATTTACAACACATACAATGTATACATATATACTAAATAGAAAGAATGCTACATGCCAAAAAAAAAAATGTTTTCAAGTACAAGTGTCTGAACTGATTCCACAAAATTAACTTCTGGAGTAATGTCATAGAATTTGGGAATCTATTATATTTCTATTTACATGTTAAAAAAAGTGCTCATTAAATATCACAGCTAAAAAATAAACAGAATAAAATCTCATGACGAGAGATTCCAATGGAACAATTAAGAGACATGACAGAAAGGCCCAATACGAACATTCCTATAAAAAGTGACTTAGAAAATGACACAAAATTGGCAAGATGAACAAAGTGAATCTCAATTTAGCATCTGCCATATAGAGCTGTAATGTTAAATGATGCTGTGTGAAATAAAATAAAGGGTGTTCTGGGTGACAGAAAATGGTGGCCCACTTTTATTCAAAAGGTTCCTTGCCATCTCCTACTGTACATGGAAACTGAATAAACCTTAGGGCAATCAAGAAGTCACCATTTGATATTTTACCTACCCACTGAAATTATGGTAACAGATGGGCCATTGACCAATTCTACAATGTTCAGAGAGCTAACTTACCCTGGAGGGGTTGGAGGTCGTTTGTAGCCAAACTTGGTGTCGGTGCAATTCCGAGAGAAATGTCCCAGCTCTCCACACTGGTAACAACGCAAATTTGGGTCATAACCTCCCCTCATCCGACCTCCACGTACACGGGGTCTTGCCTGTGTAACCTTGATTCGGCAGTGACCAATCATTCTGAAATAAAATTTTGCCTTGAAAAACAACAAAAATGAAAGAACAACTTTATACAGAAAATGTAGTTCTTCAATCATCAAAACAAAAACTTGAGGTAACAAAATTCAATGTAGTGGGACCTATAAAAAAAATAGACCTCAAAATAGTAAATTTTATAATCTATTAAAAACACAAGTAACAAATTTTCAAAAATAATAATTTGGGAGAATATCCAGACAGCGTTACTCCTTTCCATCAACATTTTTTCAAACAAAAAATTCTTCCTGTGATTTAAATATCAAATGCAATTTGTTCACAAGAACCATTCACAAGGTGTCTGTCTGCTTCTTGGAACTTGGAACTAAATATATATTGTCCACAAAAATAAATGGCATATAAATGTTTAGTAGTATCAATAAATCTCAAAGAGTTGACCAATTTCTAAGAAAAAACAATGGACAAAGCTGATTTCATTTACTGTACCTTGAATGTTAGCAGGAGCAAAAGAAACAAAAAATTAATGAAATTAGGTGGTACGGAAAATTGGAAAAGCTTGTACTGTACATGTTTACTGAAATGAAAAGTAAATTGACTTGTTTAATTTGTAAACGACAGGTGGCTGCTGTCAGATAGTACAGCGTTTATTGGCACTATGAAGCTAGCCATACCAACAAATATGATATGCTATATACACGTGGCAAATTATGAGAAGACATCTATTAATTAAAAGCTTTCATGAAGTCATTGAGAGGTGTATTACATGATTTCTCATGAAATAGCTCTCCTTTCAAAGTCTTTCTCAAACTGGAAGTTTATACAAATTAAAACAAAGTATATGTTAATAGCTACCAACTCCATCTGTCAAGAGAAATGGCAAGCTTTTGCAAACATAAGCCTCTCAAGAAATTCAACTGCCAAATTGATCAGTGAATTATAAAACAATATTACCCTTATAAAACAATATTACCCTTTAACTGTTTGTCACAATCAGGGATGTGATCAATATTAGTCCTCAACGTGTCACAATATGGGATATGTTAAAATACCACACAATTTAAAACTCCTGCCTCCGCTCCTCAGCCCTCCAGTAAACAAGACATCTTGGGGGAAAAATGTTGGGCTTGAAGGCCTCAATACTAACACAGCATCCATGCGTAGTGCATGCAGCACTGCCAAGCAGTTCATGCCCATACCACCACAATGATGAAATAATTAAGCAACGGCTATCATTAAGCAACTATCATTTATCAATGATAGTGCTACAGAAGACCCAGACAGTGATGAAGACAATGTACAAGATTCAGGTATTAGTGAACCTGATACAGGTAATGATGTCCGCAGTGAGAGGCACACAGCCACAGCAGACCAGTGCAGTGTGGTGTGTACGCATCACGCATTGGGACATGTTCCTTTAGAAAATGATCACGTGGAAAAATTATTCACACTTGGGGTATATTGACCAAGATTCTGACAACAATAGTGTTTTGCCTTGAGTTTGCAATGACCATAGCAAATTAGGCAGCATTTTGCTTTGTCATGTGCCAATGCAAATATTTATCATGTTTTTATCACAGGCAGAAGCACAATTTATACGATAAATAAATATTTATAAAACAGAAATGAGAGGCAAACAATACGTAATAACTTACATGCCATCTGTCTCCTTAAGAGCCCGATCTGCATCTTTCTGGTGAGCATAAACAACAAATGCGAAACACGGAGGATTACGTGCCATCCAAATTTCCCGTAGACGACCATACTTCTCAAACACTCTCTCCAAGTCACGTTTACGTGTGTCAACATCTACAGATAAAAAGAACACAGTATTAATTTTAAAACCAAAGATGCTGGTTTGGTTAGCCTTGCAGACAAAACATGTAGTAAGTGAAGTTTATTCTGGTGTTTTTCTACAACTGTATAATGTGTACATATAAGACAATACTGTATTACAAATTAACCTCATTATCCAGATCAACTGATACCTCTGGATGTTCAGATAACTGAATATACTGATTCCTGAAGAAAGTTGTATATCATTAGGGCTGTCAGGGTAGGTATGAGAGCACTTCGTGCATCTCTTCACACTAACTTTGCTTAACTAGTAACTATTACCAGTTTTTCTTAATAGATTCTTTAATTAATAAGACTATATTTTTCAAATCTCTCTCTAATAAAGACAAGATAACATGGATATGATTATTCGCTCAATAAAATAGGGGAAAACATTACCACCACCAAGTCATCCCCCACCTCCCAAATGATGTGCTAAAAAAGTACAGATCAAAATTGTCACAAGGGGATACATGGTCCAATGACAACAGAGGACCTCCATTCCTTCGACTGAAGTTGCCAGCCAGCCAGTGATAGCTATCACCAAATAATTAAAATAAAATAATACGAGAAAGCAAAGTAAAGCAAGATAGCACTATTAATCCTGTAACGTTTGTGATGCCTAGTCGTCACTTGCTCAAAACGCCAGAACGTTCAGATGACAACCGTAATAGTCATTTTCAGTCATGTTGGCTAATTTTCACTCGCCTTTCGTTACTTTATTTTCCTTGTAATGTATTTTTGAAAATACCCTTATAAAGTACAACTCTCAGCTTAAAAGCAATACCAAACTGAACACTTTACTATGCATAGTAACTTCACAGTATGAGTTGGAATTAAAATAAAGTGATTTGCCCTTGACGTTGGCAGCACCTAAAATTGGTCAGAGGCAAAAATGTGAAAGGATTAATACACTATCTTCCCAGGGGACCAGCCAAAGTATCAGGAAATCATCCAGAGATAACATTTGCCAATTACCTACCACACAAAATGATACTTTACTGATTGTAAATATTTTCAGTTCTTTGCAAACTACTCTGCCAGAAAAGTATATTTGTTTTCTTGTCAGTCATACGCCAATAATGTGCATACATTTGAATAGTAATTATTTTTAAAAGGTTAGGAAAATCGACATATGTTAAAAATGTGAGGAATGTTGGATTGTTCATAGCTTTTATATTCAGCCCCATCAAGCCTTGCCTTAATTTAAACTCACACATTTTGTATGGCTTCAATACACTAGCAAATGTATTTGTGAACATTTTGACACTACATAGTCAATTCAAAACTAAGAAAACAAAGAGTATAAACATTTCAGGCATAGCTGAACCAGACTAAGATGCCCAGAACATTTACATTCAGGAATATGCTGATGGCCAGAACATTAAGTATCAAAAACACCTAATTCAGCAAAATTGTAAAGGTCCAAATAGAATACCAGGAATCTTGTACACTATTCAACAGTATATTAATATATAATACAGAAGCAGCCCAATAAGTTCTTGTTTTACAAATTATAATGTATACATCAAACATCCAGAAAAGAAAGAGAAATACAGTACAACAACCACCCAACAAAACTCCACTTGCCTAGTTCTGCAACGTGCAGCCGAGCACCATCTACTGGTGTCCCACTCCTTGACCTTGATCTTGAACGCCTTCTAGAACGAGATCTTGACCTCCTTCGTGACCTGTCAAGGATAAGAATCCTAAGCATAAATCAAGTTAATTTCATAAAATACTGATATATCTGATTTCTCATTATCTCTTGGTACTATCCATTACTGACGAGCTAATCCCATGTACTGATAAAAAATGTTTAAGTCTTTCTAATATTTGCCAGGAACAAAGTATCCTCCTCACCTGTAATCCACAAAATTCTATTGAAAGGACTTCAATTCTCCTACTAGTTTAGATGTATGAATTCAGGCAGTGGTCTGTGCACATTTTCTTGTCAGTGATATATCCATCTCTAGTGTTATGCCACCAAATTTGCCATTTTTACTTTCTTGGTTACAGTAAAAAAAACTAACCTATGGCAACACAGTTCTTTAATCCTTGTACTGCTCCCATCATCCATCAATCTTAAACTACCCTCATCGTCCAAAGACATCGTCCAAGTTATATATATTTCAAGGCAGTAAATATTTGTTAACAATGCCTGACATACCCCTTTCCTTCTAGCTAGTGTGCACATCATAAATAACCAAGTTTCAATTTATGCCATGCAAAATTGCTAGATTTTGCAAGCATTGTTAATAGTGAAAATATATTTGAAGATATGAAAGGGAATATTATCCTTAAGATAAATTACTATATTCAACTAACAGAAAGGAGACAGTGGGTGTTAGCTGGCACAAAGCCACACCACCAACCACACTTCATTGATACAAAGAAGAGCAAATTTAATTCTACAAATTACAGTGATGATAAATACTGTAGTACCATTATGAAATTGGTACAATTGATATTCGCATGATTGCAGTGATTGTGATGGGAGCAGTTGTGTTTGCGATATATTTTTTCCAGTTTCCATTTGGGCTACAACACAAACTTCGACTGGAAATTCATCATATAGGTTAGATTTTGCTTCATTACTTTGATAAGAATCATATTTTTTAATGTTACCCTATGAATGAATGATTTGGGCAGCCCATCCTCCTAAAATGATAGTACTGTACTGTACTTATAGCTAAAGTGTGCACATCATAAGTACTAAAGTTTCAATTCATACAAGAACTGGAAAATCTGACAAGAAAATGGTAAACGTGCAAATATGTAGTGATGGACCATCAAATGTTAAATTTTGTATTACTTAATTTGGCCAAACTGGAAACTTTAACTGCAACATTAAGTATAAAATCTAACCTAACCTCTCCTAGCAATCCTAGGGTCCAATATAGGTATATACAATATATATATATACATACATCACTTTCTAAATTGAGTTTATCTGACACTTATGGAATCTGATAAAAGAAATGACCAAGCATAACATAGGGCCTTTGTCAGGTTAAGGATTATGTCAGGTAGCAAAACTATGGTTTATACTTGTATATTTTACAATAAAGAACCTGTATCCCAATGAAACTTTAATTACCTGGATCCTCGAGAACGCGATCTAGATCGAGATCTCTTCCTGCTTCTTGAGTGTGACCGTCTAGTCCGTGAACGAGAACGACGCTTACTTCGGGAACGAGAACGTGATCTCCTTGATCGAGACTTCTTCTTTGCTACAGAGGAGCTTGATTTTTGGTCCTTGCCAGAATCTTGATCTCTCGGCTTACTCTTACTTCGACTACGTGAGGAGCGTTTTTCATCAGCATCCCCACGCCATTCAACCATATCTTTGTTTTCTGGACTCCTTGATCGACTGTACTCACGCCGATTATCAGATTTCTCATTATCAGAATCTCCTCTCATGCCATTTTCCTTCCTGTCAGGTGATTGATCCTCATCAGAGCCATGAAGTCTGCTGTCTCTATTCCCATCATCAGAATGATGACTCCCATCAACTGACCGAGAACGAGATCTGGTCCTTGACCTACGATCATACCTGCCACTATCACTGTCATCTCTATCATCTGCCTCACGTCTTGCATTATTTTCTTCTTCAGAATCGGAAGACATTTCTGTAAAGAAAATAATTATAAATACTTAAAGGATATTTCTGTATTTGTAAAATACTTAACATAATAAATGAAACTGCATTATGCCTATTGGCCAGGAGGTAGCTCTTTGTATCTTCCAAAACTCATTTAAATAGGTAACATGTACTTGAAACAATCTAGTGATTCCACATTAATTATGTTAACCAGTAATTTGTTCCATAAATCAACCAACTTATTTCCTAACTAGTATTTATCCAGATCTTTCATGGATTGAACAAAAAAAAGAAATACAAATTTTCCAACAAATACAGTACAGTAGCTTAAATTGTTTAAAAATTAATAATTTCAATATATGAAAAACGTACTAATAGTGTACAGTACTGTACAAAACAAATTTAGGGCTCTTGACATTTATAAAGGCTTAGTTTCCATTCTATTTGTTTATAACAAATGAGGAATTGTGTGTTATGGAGAGGTATACAAGTCTAGGTACCCAGCTGCAGGGTCAGAGGTCAAAGCCTGTCATTGTCCTCATTCAGCACCCTTAAACTGCACAAATCATCATATGTATTGAGTAACTGTCGAGAAACTGCTCACGACATCGTATGATGCTTTGGAGAACCACGCAAGATATAAAAGTCCTGTGGCAACACAGGGTTCACATCAGCTTCTTCAGGGCTCTAGTAACCCTCCCCCATCTTTAAAAGAAATCTTGAGTTCCTCACTTTCCTTCTAGGGCCTTAATTTTAAGATTTAGGCTTACAGTATATGTATACATATATTATTATGAATAAGTTATGTGGGTGTCTGTATATCCAGACATACATTTTTTTCAAAGTTATACATAATAGACAGTGCCTTTGACCTGTTAGAAAAAACTAAATAAATAAAGTGAGAAACAATGAAAATAAATCAACAAAGTTATCCCCATGCAGCACCTCAACTCATTTTACCTAAAAATATAAAACCTCTCCAGGCCACCACAGCTTAACCACAAGAGCGTGAGACTTTTTAATTGGATTTTTGTGCTTCCTGAAGGCTAATTAAGTCATAGGAATTTTTTTTTTCAGAACAATTTTTTTCTTGAGCACATGAGGGTATGTCGGCTATTAGCAGTTAGCAGTCTAAGCGTTAAGAAATACTTGAAATTACACGGGGTTCTCACTCTAAGCAAATCATATGCTAGTGAATTCCTGGATGGTCCATACAGATTGTGTTCAATGTTCAATTGATGTTAAATGACATATACTGTACAAATATTTGAGAGGATTTAAAGCCATCACTGAGGCTGAGCATTGGGATGCAGCTCTGCAGTATTATGCAGCATCAAGTAAACATTCTCCATGTACTGTATAGTTCATTTTGGTGAAGACTCACTGTACAGTATATAGAAACTAGTAACGTGATTTAATATTCAATTTTGTGTTCTGAGAGTAAAGATGGTGGACATGTGACAGAGAAATAGCAAAAATAAACAAAAAAAATATTACTAGTTTAATATAATGAAGACTATGGTACATTATACCGATACTAATATAGTACAGTGGAAGCTAGGTACTCAAACAGCTAACTCGAACATTTCTGAATTCGGACACTATGTTCATGTTCGGTACTCATCCATTCACAGTACTGTACTTGGCATTTACACAAACATGAATCACAACCGTGATAATGGTAGGGGACTCCCCTGCCAAAGAATAACATCTCTTTTCCTCTGCCTTAACACCTTCCACATATCCTATCAACTCTCCCAAGTGCAAGTAAAGAGTGTAGTGTTAGCTTTTATTTCATTTAATTTTTGCATTAATATATTTATTTTTGTCATCTGGTATGGATTAATCCAATTTACATTATTCCCTATGGTAAAAAAAAATCAGTACCAGTATTTGAACATTTCAGCATTCATCCTGACTTCAGGAACTGACTAAGTTCGAATACCAAGGTTCCACTGTACATTTCACTATCAGTAAAATGTTAACAAATTGTGCTTCATTTGGGCAATTTAAGAGCCACACAGCCCCTACTGAAAGCTAATGTGATACTCACCTAGTACTCACCTACCAATAAGGACATTGAGATTTATTTCTAGAAGCATTAGCAATAAAACAGCTGTTATTCTTAAGCTGTATCTTACTCTTGTTATAGCCCATTTAAATTGTGCAGTTCAGTTTTGGTTGCCATACTGACGAATGGACAAATTCACTAGAACGCATCCAATGTAGGATGCCAAAATTAATCCCGCAAATTAGAAACCTTCCATAGAGATTTAAGAAGCTTAATTTACTGTATAGAAAGGCAGAGAATTAGGGGTGAGAATTGAGTGTACAAGTACAGTTGATAAATGAGCATAACAAGGGAGATACTAAAGCATTACATATATCAACACAATAGAAAACAAAACAATGGATATAAATTGGATTAGTCTATATTTAGGAACAGTCGAGGGCCACAGAGCTAACAACGCTGCAGACCAGGCATGACAGGACAGATCTCATCAAAACTTATAAATACTGAACTGTATGTTGATCCGGACAATTTCTTCAGAGGGTAACAAACACAAAGCAGCGGCTGCAAGCTCAACAGGCCACAATGTAGGACAAAATCTGGGATGCTTTTTAACCCACAGGGTTACATACCCGTCGATGCCGGAAATGCCAAAACTTAAAATCCAGCTAGAGAAAATCAGGACAAATAGGAAGACCTTTGACAAGCCACCAGCTTCCTGTCCTCATTGAGGCCACTAGTGTTAGTGGCCCTCACGTAAATTCAAGTAACTACTGGTTTGTTAACAGGGTTATGGATTCCTGAAACAAATTACTGGGTAAAATAATAAACACAGGATCTTTCGATTGTTTTAAGCATAGGTTAGACATATATACGAGTTTGGGGGGATATGAATAGATGCTGCCTCGTATGGACCAACATACACTATGGATGGACTGCCTCGTATGGACCAACATACACTATGGATGGACTGCCTCGTATGGCCTACCACCTCAATTATCTTGTTACGTTGTGCCGTGTTACAAGGGTCTAACACGATACAGTACAGCAGTAGGGTACACTAGGGGTACAAGAGCATTACAGGGACCACATCTACCACCACCCCTCCCCCCCCCCCCTTCAGGCAGCAACCACTTCACCTCCCACTCCGGCTGCTTCCCTCCACACACATCTCCACCTACATCCTCCCTCCCTAACACATATATACAGAGACATACTGTTGTATGAAGGCGAGGGTGATGCTGGGGAGGCAAAAGAGGCGGGAGTGCCGGAGTGGCCGCTCTACAGCCTCTCGTGGTGTACTTGGCACCGCCGACACAACCAACCCAACTCCCACTCTTTTTTTTCCCTCCCCCGCCTCAACGCCCTCTTAATTCCCCCTCACACACCGTCAGCTCTCATCTGCGGGTCATCCCGGGCGTCTCCATCAGGGGATACACACGATAGGAAGGCGCAGGAGATGATAATTTACCTGGAGGATGAGTTGGGAATCAATAGTGAAAGCGTCTGCACACAGTGATGGCGGCCAGACTCTGCACGCGCCTCCCCCCACCAACCCTCAATATTCCTGCAACTCACCTTCTCACACTTCACACTATGCTACTATACAATAATTTCATGCCTGAATTACATATTATGAAAATGCTATACGCCGTTGAATATTAATGTTGATTTGTCATTGTAGTAGCATGTATGTAAAATTCTAATTCTGTGTATATTTAACGAAATCTTTGACTTAACGTGTTATAGTTTCATGAAAATTCTGTTTAAGGATTATTTAGTGGGATTTGTTTCTTTATGTACTGCATATGTATAGGTAATCAATTTTATTAAAACCTATAAAGTGTCGTAATCTGTACTAAAGAATGGCATTGGGCGTTCCTATATTATCTACAACACTTTAAAGTTTAAAGAAAACGGAAGTAAAATAAATTTCGAATCATAAAATTTAAAATAAAAGCAATTTATGTATTAGTGATGCAGTAATTAGTTGCTTCCCCAAAATGCGTTGTTTTGTTCGTAATTCACACGACCTGTTCGGAAACAAATTATTTAAAAAATTCAAATTATACTCTGCTTTTCTCGTTGGAAAGGTTGACAAAATCATAAACAAATGCTCTAGAACCTCATGTATAATTATATTGGTGGAGAGTTACGCTGGTATAGGGTCTTTCCACTATAGAGAGGGAGTATAAGGATGCCGGGGCCAGAGGCCATCAGCACCTCGCCTCCCCCATCCCTCCCTTCATTAGTTGATTGATTGAGAAATAATTCATCTGCTTTCGTGACGGAGAGACCATTGGCGCCCAATATCAACCTACAGTCAGATAAATATAAGAAAAAATATTGAACAACGCGTATTATGATATATAAATGAGCTATTTTAGTTAGAAAACATTTTAGAGTTAAAATAAATAAAAACGGTATATATATATATAACTTATTTGTTAGCTAAACGAAGAATTTTATTTACTTATTTATTTATTATTTATTTATTTATTTATTATTTATTTATTTATTCACTCATATACAAGAAGGTACATTGGGTTGTGAGGTAACATAATATTGGTGTTTAAGCATTACATTCTTGCAAAGCTATTAATGGCAATGATGCCATTATTAGTTTGCTTAACATAATTTACACAGTCCACGACAAAAATATGTTCCTAATTGGCCTCTTCATTGACCTGAGAAAGGCCTTGATACTCTAATCCATAACTAACTCTATAACTACTATAACCTCTATAGAAGTTATACACTATAACCTACCATAGAGGTTATAGTAGTTATAGAGGTCTATAACCTGTATAAATATCCATAACTACTGTGGAATCCGAGACCTTGCTCTAAACTGTATTCGTTCCTATCTCAGTGACAGACACCAGTATGTAGCCATAAATAACACAACCTCCTCCACTCTACCATTAACAGGAGGAGTGCCACAGGGCAGCATCTTAGGACCTCTCCCATTTCTTATATACGTCAATGATTTACCAAATATTTCTAACATTCTTGAACCTATATTATTTGCTAACGATATTACCTCCATCTTTTCTGACTCCAACCCCCACACTCTAAATAATATTGTCAATAATGAATTTAAAAAATCCACTCATGAACGTTAACCAACAAACTCACACTAAACTTAGAAAAGACTTACTATATTTTATTTGGGAGTAAATCATCAAATCAAATTCAATTTCAGATAAAGACTGACTCTACATAGGCAAGAGACTGAACTTCAGCACCCATATACAACACGTAGTCAAAAAGTCTCTAAAACGGTCGGTATACTTTCTAAAATCAGATATTATGTGCTCCACTCTGCTCTCCTCTCATTATATTACGTACTAATCTATCCCGGGAGCCGGTCGGCCGAGCGGACAGCACACTGGGCTTGTGATCCTGTGGTCCCGGGTTCGATGGGAACCCGGGACCGGTGGGAAACAATGGTCAGAGTTTCTTTCACCCTATGCCCCTGTTACCTAGCAGTAAAATAGGTACCTGGGTGTTAGTCAACAAGTTCAAGTATGTTTATTGAGATAAGCAATAAATACATCTCAAAGGGATAGAGTAGCTTAGGCTATTTCTACCCCCCTCTACTTCAAGTCCCTCAAGGGGCGCACAAATTCAGTGAGTACAAATAGACATAACAGTACAAGAATCCCATTTAACATTGCATACAGCAAGTACAGCATATAATTGTTACATTCTTGGGGCAAAATTCTTGTAGCTCCTAAGTATACTGTCTATTATACCATTATCACACATCCAAACAATTTGATGTGGTAGACTATTTCTTTCCTTATTTCTATATTTTTCAATAAGGTGACACTCTAATACATAATGTTCTAAGGTGTGGGCGTGCGGCATACTACATAATTTACACTCCTTTAGGCAGTCAGTCAGGTGCAGTCACAGTGAGAGGTTGTGTTAGCTGGAGCTCCGATTCTAATAACATTATTATTGCAATAATGGAAGGATTAGTAAAAGATTTGGTGAGTCTGGTTGGAGCTCTGAGAGCAGAGATGGATTCCCTTCGGGAGGAGGTACAACGGCTAAGACTTCGGGAGGAAACGAAGGAGGAGGCCAGTGTTGACGGGACCTCATTAAGAAGGACTGACGAGACCAGTATTAAGAAGACCTCGTCTTGGCAAGTTGTGAAAGACAGGGGTCTTAAGAAGACCTTGGCAAAACCGACAACTAATAGCCTACACCTAAGGACTTTTAACGCATTTGGCGTATTAGAGGACGAGTGCTGTGTTGAACCTGTTGTTCAACGAGGTGGCAAAGACAAAGTAACGAGGAGCATTGAAGCGCAGGTCCCTCAAACTGCTCGAAAGGAAAAGGGAGAATCGAAGCGAATTTTGGTTGTGGGAGATTCCCAGGTGAGGTATTTAGACAGAACGTTTTGTGCCAGAGATAGGGGAAACAGATTAAGGGTTTGCTATCCGGGAGCTGGAATTGGTGATATTGTTGGAAACATGAATGATATTATGACAGGAAATGGAAACAAACCCATAATTTGTATTAGTGCAGGGGGTAATGATGTTGGACGAGTTAGGAGTGAGGAACTAATACAGAGATTCAGGACAGCCATTGAATTGGTTAGGAGCAAGGGAGGAATCCCGATCATATGTGGCATTCTTCCAAGAAAGGGAGTAGGAAATGAATGGATATCGAGGGCACTTGGTGTCAATTGCCGGCTGGAAAGATATTGCAAATCAAATGCAATATCTTTCATAGACAACTGGGAACACTTCTATGGAAGAAATGAAATGTATGCTCGTGATGGGGTGCATCTATCGAGAGCTGGGGTTGTTGCTGTTGCGAACTCGTTGGAAGAAGTGGTTAGAGGTGTTTGTTTGGGTTTAAACTGTTAGCTGATAGAGGTATGGGAATTGATTTGGAGGAAGGAGATAATAAAAGTACGTGTTTGTGGGAGAAAGGAATTGGCAAAATGATCAGGGAAAGAGAAGGGCCTCAAAATAACGAACTATGAAGCCCTGCTAAGGAGCTACAAGAATCGCATAGCCCTGCTATGCGAACTATGAAGTTCGCATAGCAGGGCAAGCAAAGACAAATCCTAAAGGGTTTTTTCAGTTATATCGTACCAAGACTAGGGAAAGGATAAGAACATAAGAACAAAGGTAGCTGCAGAAGGCCTATTGGCCCATACGAGGCAGCTCCTATTCTATAACCACCCAATCCCACTCATATACTTGTCCAACCCGTGCTTGAAACAATCGAGGGACCCCACCTCCACAATGTTACGCGGCAATTGGTTCCACAAATCAACAACCCTGTTACTGAACCAGTATTTACCCAAGTCTTTCCTAAATCTAAACTTATCCAATTTATATCCATTGTTTCGTGTTCTGCCCTGTGTTGATACTTTTAATACCCTATTAATATCCCCCCGGTTATGTCCATTCATCCACTTGTAAACCTCTATCATGTCACCCCTAACTCTTCGCCTTTCCAGTGAATGCAACTTAAGCTTTGTTAATCTTTCTTCATATGAAAGATTTCTAATTTGGGGAATTAACTTAGTCATCCTACGCTGGACACGTTCAAGTGAATTTATATCCATTCTATAATATGGCGACCAAAACTGAACTGCATAATCTAAATGGGGCCTAACTAGAGCAAGATATAGCTTGAGAACCACACCAGGTGTCTTGTTACTAACGCTGCGATTAATAAATCCAAGTGTCCGATTTGCCTTATTACGAACATTTATGCATTGATCCTTTTGTTTTAAATTCTTACTAATCATAACTCCCAGATCCCTTTCGCAATCCGACTTCGCAATCACAACACCATCTAGCTCGTATCTTGTAACTCTATCATCATTACCTAACCTCAGAACTTTACATTTATCAGCATTAAACTGCATCTGCCAATCCTTTGACCATTTCAAAACCCTATCTAGATCAACTTGAAGTGATAGTGAGTCCTCCTCCGAATTAATTTCCCTACCGATTTTCGTATCATCGGCAAATTTGCAAATGTTGCTACTCAAACCTGAATCTAAATCATTTATATATATTATAAACAACAGAGGTCCCAGGACAGAGCCTTGAGGCACTCCACTTACAACATTTTCCCACTCTGACTTGATTCCATTTATACTAACTCTCTGTTTCCTTTGGTATAGCCATGCCCTAATCCAGCTTAATATAGCACCCCCAATACCATGAGACTCTATTTTTTTAATCAGTCTTTCATGTGGCACTGTATCAAAAGCTTTGCTAAAGTCAAGGTATACAACATCGCAATCCTTACCACTATCAACTGCCTCAACAATGCTAGAATAA